TTGAATTAATTTTATAAATAATATAAATCAAATACCTTTAAAATATTATGATAATTTCTTCTTTTTTGTTGCATTTTGGAAGGAAATAAATATCTTTTATCATAAAAAAGAAAGTCAAAATAAGAAGAAAAGAAGAATTTAGATGGCAGGCATGGCTCACGAGCTGGGTCAACGTGCAACCCAACCTCAGTATAAAAAATAAATAAATAAATAACGTGTCGTCTATTTTATCTCTTCTTAGTGATTACTCGGTAGCTAGAAAGTCATGCTTGCTGGAATTTCAATTTCAAATTTGTTATATATATATATATATATCACTCAAAAACACCTAAAAAAATTCATGCTAAATATCTCAAGAAACTATTTCCAACCTCAAAACCCATTTTGTAATTTTTTTAGACCCTAGTGCGACAAAATTGGAGGTTGTGGAGGCAATAAATGTTATGGTCAACCTTGCATTTGTATTGACCATAAGTGCATATCATTATGTAATTCCCCTGAACCATAGCGTCCCACCCATTGGCGCTAGAGTAGATAAATCAGCACATGAAGATGATTTGAAGGGAATAATAATAAAAGTTCATTTTTATATAAGAATAAGTTAAATATTTTCTAATGATATGGTATTTGTCACTATTTATGTTTTCCACTTTGATTTTTTTCTCCTTGAATGACGGTATTTAAAATTTAAAGTAAACAAAGAACTACTAATAAACCATGAAATAACCCCAAAGGGCATGTTAAACGGTGAAATAGCTTCTTTTTATTTTTTTTCATAATCTTGTGAGTTCAAATTGCACTATGATTTGAGCATTAGTACAATAATTATAGTTTTCAGAATTTAAATAGAATAGCAAATCTACTAGATGTGATGATTATTGGCATTGATTTGTAAATGTTAATCTAAAAATTCACTAGTCTCGGCGTGAATGGTTCTTGCTTTGATTATTGGCATTGATAAGTAAACGTAAATCTAAAAAATTCACTGGTCCTTGTGTTGTGTGAATGGTATCTTTTTACTATATTGAAAAAATAAATTTAATCTTAATGCGTAAAAACTATATATATGCATTGTTTTTCTATTTTTCTGTGATGGAAAAATTACCTTGTTAAATCCTACTTAGCTTTTGAGAGCATTAACGTTTAGTATTTTTTTTTTCAAAAAATAAAAATAAAATTATGAAAGCATTGGTCTTTAAACTAAATCAACTCAGAATTAAATTATACAGAAATAAAATAATTAAAATCGAAGTTTGTTACAGCATTTCCATGACAATCTATTTCGTATTCTTAGTGGTGATGTTTGTTCAACAAAGCAATAAAGAAGAAGAAAAAAACATCCAAAATTCAAAAAAAAAAAAAAAAAAAAAGCAAGAAACAAACAACACACATCCAAAATTCAAAATCGATCAACACAAGAAACACTAAATACAATTAATTTATCAAAGAAATTAACAGATTTTCAAATAAAAATAAATTTAAAAAAAGCTCCAGATCTCTAAAAAATGATATATAAAAAATTGGGTGTTTATTTGGGGTTCAGAATTAATAAAAATGTAGAGGTTTTGTTTGGAAATCAAACGCAACACGTCATATATGAAAAAAAAAAAAAAAGTGATTTTCTTGGGAATTTCAAACAAAAAACAACCGAAAAAGAAAAAAAAAAAAAGCCTAGGTCAGGCTTTCTTACTCAAATATTAACTGATGAATGAAAGATTTAACTTAAATTTTTTCCCAAAAAAAAAAGAAAAAAAAAACACTGTATTCTCGTTTTGCGGAGGAATGAAAGACGGAACTAAGGGTCGACAAAAACCGAACTTTAATAGAAATTTCTTATGGCTTAATTAATGGTGACAGTTAACGAAGTTTCTTATGCCTAAATCAAAGGAGGGGGCGGGTTCAATGCTTCTCGATTAACAAGCCAGAAACATCAACAGATCTGATCATTGAAAATGCACTTGTTTTCTTTTGTTTCATCCACTCTAGTCTTAGACACTTGGATCAACACACAATGAACAACAATCATCCTTTTCATCTTCAAAATTAACAAACATGATCTTAAATATGCCATAAAAAGGAAACTTAATTAATTGCTTATGATTTTCTCTCTATCATCAATAATGTGATTTGAATTTTTATTTTTTAATCCGAAAATAAATAATATTTTTAAGTTAAATTATTTGTCAATTAATTCTAAATCTCATTTTTAAGTAATATTAAGATTATATCAGCACATCGACCTAGTGATTTTTTTATTTAAATGATTTTATTCTCGTATGATTAGTTGATTCATTGTCTAAAACTATAAACCATATTCACCTAATATTCTTTGTTGTATACATATACACATAATTTCTATAGGTAGAAGAAGTGTGACCTTTCTTTTTTTGATTATGTTTGTTAAATTCACACTACTGAATTCAAAATAGATAGATGCAATTGATGGATATAAATTCGAAATGAAGGGATGGATGTAATTTTAGCAAATTTTCCAAATAACAAAAGTTTAATTGCTTAATGTTTTTTTTTTTTTCTCACTTGATCTAGATTCTAAAATTCAAAATAAAGGATAAAGTTTGGAACATATGATCATTCATATTTTATTTCAAATACCTCGTCGATCCAAAATTGCATAATACCCCAAGAATTAAGTGTTAGTTTCTTAAACAAGTAATAATTTACAAAAAATTTCCAGCAAAAATGATTTCTTTTTTTATTAAATATAACCCTCTGTTAATGGACATTCACGCGTCAAATGGAGAAATTTTATGATATTTTGAAAGTAATTATTAATATTTATTACATAAGAGACAAAACAATATAAATATAATTGAAAAAATATATTTCAATAGAAATATTCTTATTATTTTATTAAGTATGAATGTGATTTTCTCTTTTTTATATTTATGTTTAATTTTTTTCCCTCAAAATAAAACTATATAAAGCAATATTGATAATTACTATTGGAATATTCTAATTATTATTTTATTTTTTAAAACAGCCCTTTCAAGATACTATACCTTAAGTATTTGATTGAACCCCAATAAAGAAAGAAAACGACCCTTATGGACAACACTTATTCCATTTATGACTTTTTTTATTTTTGCCAAAGATAGGATAGTTGAGTTCCCTATTAATTAATGACTCATTTAACTGTTAAGTACAAATATTAATTATCAATCAAAGCATAAATAGCATTATTGTTGGAGTAATAGAAAAGAATATTATTCTCTTCCTTGATCTGAGATTCATAAGATTTGGTAAAAAAATATTTTTTATATTTCCTGAACAATGTTTCTATAGTATGATGATAGGACAATGAACTAAATATATGAAGGGAAAAAAACAAAATCAATAATGCTAATAAATATTACAAAGTAATTTTAAATAAAACAAAATCAATAAATATAATTCTATGTGATAAAGACGGCATCTAACGCATGCAGGGTAGGGTACGGTAGCCAAGGTATATACTTCGTGAACTTCAAACAAAATAAGAAAACGGAAGGTCTGTTTTTGCTAATCAATTAATTAAAAACTAGGAGTTCTTTTTCCTTTTTGGTTTGTGAGTTTTCTCTCTGAAAATGAAACAAATCAATTCCCTTTTTAAAGATTAAACTGCTGATTTTATTTCCCTTTATAGACATTCTCTCTCTCTCTTTCTCTGCAATTTCTTTATTTAAATACTGACGATTTCCCTCAAACGCCAAAAGCCCATTTTTATTACTTACATTCTCTCTCTATCACTCTCGCTCTCTCTCTCTCTCTCTCAATTTTCCAACTGAAATTTTTCGTTTTTCCGTTTGTTTCCCGGGAAAACTCACGATTTCCTTCCGGAAAAAAAAGCCTCTTTCTTTTCCAGGTACAACCCAATTACTTCGTTTTAGTCTTTGCAATTATCGTTTGATGGGATTTGTTTGGCCTGAATTGCTTTCCAGTTTTAGTAATTTTTAGCTTAACTTTTTGATCTGTGATTGACTTTGACCGGATCTGCCTCAATTTTTAGATGTTTTTTTTTTGGCTTAAATTTTTGGTTTTATTTACTGAATTTGAAGTTGGAATTATTTAAGTTTCTGGGCTGTGATGATTTTGATCTGTTTTTGTTTTTTTTTTTTTTGAAATTTTAAAACTTGTAACTTTGCTGGGTTCTCTTCAGTACTCTGCTTGATTTAAGAGTAAATTTGAAGAATAAGAAGAAGATCACTAATCAATACTCAAAGCTTAGAGCAATTTAGTTCACATGAAATCTAATACGGCATCTATAGTTTTGAGGTAGATAATGATGAAATTTAATGCAATATAATACAACACAAGATTGAAGCAGTGCTTGTTTTCTTCTGTCGTTAAATTACATTACGTTACGTTATACCGGATGTATATTGTAAAAGCTTGAATGGACAACATCATTGTTATAGATTAGCTGTTAGAATGAGCTTCACGTAGTGGTGATGGTAGTTGTCGTGTTTATGCATACCTTAGTGGTTACTTTCGATTAATTTAAGAGACCACCTTATATGTTGAGTGTTTGGATTGACAACTCCAGAGGGGGTCCCAATTCAAATTATCAAAGTTCATGAATTAAAATCAGGAGAAGAATAACATATTGGGTGTCAATCAAAATGTTGATAGGTCACGGAGGCTCCGTACGCTTAATTGAATGACCAATTTGATTCGTGTCATTGTTTTGGGTAGTCTTGGGTGCTTTCGCATTCATTTTACAGTTTTTATCGTCAACAATTTTATGTTTTTGGTTTAAACTAACAGTTTTCCTAATTGTTAAATTGACATTCATTTTATCATGTTGTGGTATTCTTGTAATTTTCCACAAATAATTGTATTCTTATGCTGTTATGTAATTCATGGCATAACTAATTAATTTTTTCATGTTTTTTTCTTGAGTACAGATACTATACCTAACTTTTAACCTTCAAGTATTGTATTTACTCTCATGAAGAGTGACCAGTGACGATTCTGCTGATAATTGGTAGTCATAGAAGAAAATGTCTTCAACCAAGGCTGATAGGAAGGCTGCTGCTGATACAGCCTCATGGATGTTCAATGTTGTCACGTCTGTTGGAATCATCCTGGTCAATAAAGCCTTGATGGCTACCTACGGTTTTAGTTTTGGTATGCTCCTTGTGACAATCTACCCAAAAAATCTGTTTTTTGCATCACCAGACTGATTGCATATTTCATAGTTTAAGCCAAGTGCTTAGGAAAAAGCTTGCTGGTTTTGATCTTGGCCATGCTTTTCACTGGAATATGTTCTAAGCATTATATTCTTATGTAGTACTAAGAAATGTAAAATGAACGCATTCACGTATAGATTGTGCAGGGATAGGAAGTCAGGCATCACTATTCCATATCCGTTGGCCTACTATTATGTACTTGCATTAGATTGTTACGCTGGATGCCTGCGCATTATTACCTACTTCAAGTGTGTTATGTTGTAAAATGCAATAAAATCTTGTTGACCAAATCTGGGATAAATATTTAATCACACATTTGTTCACATTATGTTAAAAATGGGGTTCAATCAAGCAACCATTTTGTTTGCCTTGTACATTCAGGTTACAATTCCATCTGTTGATACATGTACATATAAAATTGCTCATACATGATAGCATCAAGGATAGCGCCATAATACAGCTTAAGACTTTCAAAAGCAATAATTAAAGTTATTTATGAAAAGAAAACAATTATTCACCTGAGTACTATGGGTAAACCAATCATAGGAATTAAATTGCACTAGTATTGTTTATCCTTGTGGTTCAAGTTGTGAGAGTGGAAAATTCACTGGGATCCATTGCTTATGTAATATGAAGAACTTGATTATCAATTTCTCCATGGAGTGAGGAGAATGTCTCCAATTAGCTGATACTAGGAGTCATGAGCACTTTATTTTTGTGTCAAGCCTGATTTTTTAAATCTAATGCTATCTTGCAGCTACAACATTAACGGGTCTGCATTTTGCCACAACAACATTGTTAACTGTTATTCTTAGGTGGCTGGGTTATATCCAGCCTTCCCATCTACCACTGCCTGACCTTCTGAAGTTTGTTTTGTTTGCAAACTGTTCTATTGTTGGAATGAATGTGAGTTTGATGTGGAACTCGGTTGGATTTTATCAGGTCAGTTTTGGAGTATTTCTACATGGTTGTTTGCTCTGCATTGTGTCAATTTTATAAGTTACAATCTTACCTTCCTTTTAAAACTTATTGTCAGATTGCAAAGCTGAGTATGATCCCAGTATCTTGTTTTCTGGAAGTTGTCTTGGACAATGTGCGGTATTCAAGGGACACAAAGCTTAGCATATTAGTAGTGCTTCTTGGTGTGGCAGTGTGTACTGTTACGGATGTGAGTGTTAATGCTAAGGGATTTATAGCTGCCATAATAGCAGTTTGGAGCACTGCCCTGCAGCAGTATGTAAGTAACTCTATTTGGGAACCTTGTTATTGCATATGATTGGCATTAAAAGCTGGGATCAGTTTTGTTGGACAAGTACAGGTTCTATACATATTTAGTTCCCCTCCCCTCATATGTATCTTTTCTTTTCTTATTCATGTAGATGTACTTAATTCCATTCATTAGAAAAATGAGTCAATGGTTTAATTAGGGGAAAAAAAATTAATCTGCACCATCCGATGCCCATATGGGTGCAGCTGGGGCATGTTAATTGTCAGGGTAACTTCTGGCACAGAGTGTTTTAGGTGTGTTTTTTTCCCTAGATCCTAGTTTCTGTCCATTTCTAATTTTGTTTGCTTACTGTATCCTATAACATTGCTGGGTTTTCACATTGTGCAGTATGTACATTATCTTCAACGGCGGTATTCTCTTGGATCTTTCAACTTATTAGGGCACACTGCTCCAGCACAAGCTGCATCTTTGCTGGTAGTGGGGCCCTTTTTGGACTATTGGTTGACAAACAATAGAGTTGATGCCTATGGCTACACTTTCACATCAATTGTAAGTTATCTTTCTGTTATCTAGCTTATACCCCAGATGAGTATTTGATTATGAGTGTGTCGGTGGGTTATGACGGATTAAGTTGAAGATGGTTTAAACTGACAAAAAATAAACATTTGAGGCCTGATTGAATAATGGAGCCATAGAGAAAATTTTGGTGTTTTGGCCGAATAGATAACAAGAATGGTACAATAACAATAGTTGTAGGGTGTAAGCAATCTGGTGAAGTGCCTTTAAGGACCCAAAATAAAAAATTGAGGTCTGAACAAATTGAAGTCTTACAATACCTGCCAATACTTGGTCAGAGATTAGAAACAGCATGGAGGAGGTTCACCGTCTCCACACTTGAACTGTACAAGCTGACACTTGTAGTTATGAAATTCCTATTTATTTCTAGAAAACATGAGGAAGGCGCTCCCCTTTAAGTTTCTGATTTTCCCCCCACTTTTAGTGAGGTTAAATGCATCTAATGTATACATCTATTTGTGTGCTTCTATATGTTTAGGTTGCAGATTTGGGATAGCTATCTGTGCCATGGATATTAAATACTTGCACAGCTACCTTTGTGGATACTGAAATATATCTTGCTAAATGCTCACTATATAAGCTGTTGTGGTTATGGTTTTCTTTCAATGCTGTTCAAAAGCTCAGTAGCATGACTAATGTTTAAAGTTGCCTAGATGCTATGTGCTTGTGGCTAGTGTGGTTACTTGACATGACTTGATATGCTCTTTGTTGTCTGCAGTTGTTCATAGTCCTGTCGTGCAGTATTGCGGTAGGGACAAACCTCAGCCAATTCATCTGCATTGGTAGGTTTACCGCTGTGTCATTCCAAGTGCTTGGACATATGAAAACAATTCTTGTCCTGATCTTAGGATTTATTTTCTTTGGGAAAGAGGGTCTCAATCTTCATGTAGTTGTAGGAATGATCATTGCAGTCGCAGGAATGATCTGGTATGGCAATGCCTCCTCCAAGCCTGGAGGAAAGGAGCGCCGTAGTCTTTCAATGAATGGCAACAAATCACAAAAACACGAAGGGTTACCAGAATCCACCGAGGTGGATGATAAGGTTTAGAGTTCAGTTAAAGGTTGGAAAAGAAAAGGAGGAAAAACACAATTATGCACTCTGCATTTTAGGTCAGCTGATATCAGGAACTCTTTACACCTCGGAAGTCAACTTTACTAAATTTTTTCATCATATTTGTTTTCTTGTTCTTGAATTAATTCGGGTAAAGGATGCTGTTGAGCGGGATACTAATTCCCCAAAGTTACATTTTCCACAATCATCTTCTATAGTAATTTATTTCCTTGTGAAAATCAAGCTTGCGCAGCTGTTTTGACCTCTCTTTTAATACATGTATGTTGTATATTTACTAGGCCTTCATACACCACGAGAACCCAAAACCTTGAGACTAGCCTGGTAAATGCTTCAGATTTGTGTTGGGAATTGTTGGAATTAGCTGGTGTCTTTTCTCTTAATGGTCCAAAAGCAGGCTTTTCTATATATACTTGAACCACGGAAAACTAGACCTGCTGTAAACCTGATATTGATGCGTTAGGAACTGTTGGGATTCGTGCAGCTCTTAAACTCTTTTAACTTGTGGTTGCTGGTTAACACTTTAATATAGACATTAATGGTGGTGTGTGATGCCTGCTGCGGTGCTTGAACGATATTGTGTTGGAATTGGTGGGTCTTGGTTTGTTTGGATTGGGAGATCCCTCCCTGTTGTTTGAACCATCTGCATTTAAAACTGTAGTTATGGATGTTTGGTGAAGCCATGGCCAGGAGAGCAAATTGAGGCAAGAATTTATAGTACAGGGCATGATTTGACTTCAAATTTCCTATTCTAGAGTAATGAACCCGTTAATGATTGGATGCGTCTTTCAATAGATATGGTACACTCCCTGTGATAAGAAATGGCCCTAGCAAATGATCTTTTTTCTGGCTTTTATGTTTGGCATCGCATCGCTCCTACAACGCAAATAGCATCAAGAAATAGATCTCATATTCTATCGGCAAGTATTTGGTTTTTCATCTTCAAGCCTTCCTCTAAGTTACAAGATGACAAAGGGTGAAGGAATCGGTGAACCTTTCTTTGCTAACTTCTTAACGTTCTTTTGTGGGCACAAGAAAGAACAAACCTATGTGCAACAAACTTGTAGCTCTAGGTCAAGCATTACAAGTCTGTTATTTTTCCTAATGTAGGATAATGCGAGGGTATACGTGGTCACAAGAAACTTTTGTCGGTTCGTTCAGAAAAAGGAAAAAGAAAAAGAAGAGGAAACTTTTGTTGGGTTACTGGCATGGCATGGGCTTTATTGAGTTTTGGAATTCTGAAAAAAATGGGCCTTCTGTCTATTCGCATCACACTTGAGGAAACTCTCCTCTCCTCACCTCTCACTCATACCAAAATAATTTTGGTAGGGTCGCTCTCTTCGAAAGTCATCTTCTCTCCCGTGTGGCATTGATTTTTCATTCTCATCTTTTTTCTTGCACTTTCCATTTGATACAAAGAAAGACCAAAAAGAGTGTGAGACCCACCCCCACGCCTCTCCAACCCAACATCTCTCACTAGCTTAATCATATAACCTCTCATTAATGAATGAATGCCTACCCTCATTTGCATTTTAGTACACCTCTCTCTCTCTCTCTCTCTCTTATCCTATCCCAATGGACCCTTCATTCCAAATGAAAACAACGCTTTGTATTTAAGAGAATAGAAGGTTTTCGGTTGGGAGAGGGATTCTTATTTATTTTATTTTGTGAGGAAAAAAATCATCCTTTAGTTGCTTGAGTGATTAAAAAAAAAAAAAAAAGGGAGAGAGAGATATTTGAAGAGACGGACCCCTCAATAATTGTGTACGCGTTGGTTGTGCACGTGTGCTGTTCCTCTATGCTTTGAATTCTTTGCTTGAACATTAATGAAAAATACTATAAACAAAACAAGTGTCGGAAGGCAACAGTATTTCAATAGTTAAATTGATACATGAAACAAATCCATATTTTTACTCCCAGGCAAATAAATTTATTTATATTTTCATTCATCACTACTACATGCTATTTTTACTTTGAATTCTATAATAATATTAAATATCAAATTTTAAACAACTTTTTGGAGGTGCCATTAGGTACGTGTTGCAATAAATGAGCATTAATTGAAGATCACGTTTACCCATTTTCTTTCCTTCAGATTTTAAATTATTTACAGGCAGCGAAGGAAAAAAAATCGAGAAACAAATTTCTAGCACTAATTAACATAACAAAAAATTACTTTTATTGGATAATTTTTTAGTTAAAATACTTCTTTGCTATCTTGAGATATAAATTTGTTCTTTTGACTACTTCCTACAATCTTCTTGAATGCTTTAGATCTACATCTTAGAAAAGCAAAATGCTGAATAATGCTTCCTTGTATTATATGATGGATTAAAAAAAATATCCGTGAAGAACGCTTTTTTTCCTTTCAATTTTCTCAAACTTCTTATAGAATTTCAACTATAAATAAAAACATAAAAAATAATTCGCTTGCTAATCAAACTAAACCTCAAAGGCCTTTTTTTTTTTAACATCAATTTCATTTAAAACCCAAAGAGAACATCACGCATCTTTTACAACAAAGCATGCGGAACATTAATATACAATGCCAAGGGTGTAATTGAATGAAAATTAAATGTAATTAAAGATAATTATAGATATAATTGAAACGATTCAAAATAGTAAAATTAAAATTGAAAGATACATGGACTACAATTACATGTCCAAATGATACAATTGAAAAATAACTAAACCTATAAGGACCTAAATTGATACAAAACATGAACGACATCATCAATTTGGAATCACCCGAATGACGTGTCATTCTAGTCTTCCCAGTAACATCCTAACACACTTGCTCCCGTACTTCACCATCCTCGGCACTCGTTCATCTTCATCATTAAAGACAACATGTCAAAAAGACAAATCAGCTAGCTTCGTGAAGGAAAAACATCCTATAGAGAAGCAAATAAATAATAAAATTTTGTTTTTCTTCATATAAAGTTTCAAAATCAACCGTTGAATCAACTAATTATATTAATAGAAATCATTTAGATCGTTACCTCTTGAAGCATAGTATCAAGTTAGCAGATTAAATGATCCAAATGTCTAATCTCTAGTGATAATCCATGCAGATTAGATACCAATACAAAGAGCGATATAATATCAAGAGTGCTAGCTCTAAATTCTTTCTATGATGAAGAATACACACATAATTCTTTTTGTGATGAAGATGGCATAATTTTTCTTTTTGTAAAGAAATATGTGCGCCTCTCCTTCTTTCAAGGAGAATTCGGCCAATTCTCCGTTAAGTTGAGTTATTTTTAGCTTGTAGCATCTTTTTCTATTTATAAACCCTATATTAGGTTTAATGAGCTTTTACCCGAAGTTTTCAAAAATACCCATCCACTTAAAATATCCCTTACAAGCTTTCACTTAAGCATGTTGGTCCAAACACCTTTGGCTCAATGACTCAACAATTAAATGGATCATATAAATAAGTTCGGATCGGGTATTTTAGAGATGCCTACATTAAAAAATTATTTCTCGAGTTACCCTTATAAGTTTAGGAAACCTAAATTAGGAAACTATTTTCTAATATTTTAAGAAACCAAATTTAAGAAACTATTTCCTAAATTATAGAAAATCCAATTCAACAAACTTATTTCCAATTTAAGAAACTATTTCCAAATTAAGAAACTATTTTCAAAATTCTTTTAGTGCTTAAGAAATTGAAATCAATCATTTCAATTCCCATTTTTCTTTTGTAATTCTTCCTTTCTCTTTATCTATGTCATTGATTCAATAGGCTTCTAGATATGTTGGTAATGTATCAAAAGTAAAAGACAATTCTTTTATCTTTTGATACATAAATTAAGATTGGCATCTAGCAAGACATCATGACTACTCAATTATCTAGAAGGATTACTTAATCCATAACAACCTTTCATGAGTATGGTTTCATACAATTCAATTCTCATGTCAATTTATCATGGTGTGATCTCAAATTTGATTTGGTATCTCGCTCGATCATGATCACGCAAGTTTTATTCGATCTTTGAATGTCTTAACTTTCAAGTAAACTAATCATGCTCTATTGGTATACTTCTAATGTGGCCACAGATTCTTGAGCGGACATTTATCAAAATGCAATGTGATAACTCTTTTAGTATATAAGGAATGACATGTCCTATATTGGTTATACACCTATCTTTATTATATTCTTGATGTACCCAATGAATCATCCACATATAGCTCTTTACTAGCTCATCGAAATAAATATTAAAGTACACTAATCCTCTAATGAGATAATCGTGATAACTTTAAGTCAAATGACTACTTGTACCCATCTCATATGAGATTCTCATAGACTAAAGCAAATGGGTTCTTATGGCGAGTCACTTTCGGTGATATGTTTTCTAACATTATTCACTCGTATGCTTGCTTTGACATCACCATGCTAGTAGGTATGAGATCTCCTACTACTATTTTATAGCAAAAGCATAGCACACACAAGTCTTACCGTATATTGTCAATATCTAATTTTAACAAAGCTATGCCTTTGGATATTTAATGATATCATTTAAGTGCATTGGTGTTTATTTCATCTATTGATCAATCATTAAGACAATGAATATCATATAAACTTCTATTTAATTCTATCAAGCTATAAGTAGCATGAATTAATAGAAAGATTTCTTTATTAATAAATATATAATAATAAAATATTTAAATCATCCAAATAGATTGGATCGTGAGCACCTACATTAACGACTGCTCTTGTACTCGCAAGTAACTACATATATAAAAACACATCAAAACAAATATATAAAGCACAAGTTTTGGCTTTTTTCGGATAGAGCAAAAAATAACAACAATTTTAGATGGTTCGCTTTGCTTTCGAGAGATCGGGTTTAAGGAAATTGACCCTAAGGTTAAAGACAGAAGACTTTTGGGTATAAATAGGCATCAAATTAGGGTTTCAAGGGGAAAAGTTTTAAAAACAAAGGGAATTGAGAGGAATTTGAGAAATTGGGAGAGGATTGAAAAAAAATAGGTAAAAAAAATCAAGAGAATATCATAGAGGATTTAGATGCGATAGAGAAAAGAGAGAAATTTTGAGGTTTTTAGGCTTTTGGAAGAACACCTACTTACCTATTGAAGCAGACAATCATACATTGATAATCGTTCCCCTCAAATGAGATTACCTTAATCAACCACCCAAGTAACAAATTATTGCTTTCTTAATTTATTTATAGCTTTAATTAGTGTCGATCGAGTGATGATAATGACTTCATTATTATCAACTTGCATAATTCCTCACTATCTTAAAATTTCTTTGTGGTTTTGAACTTTTGAGATGAAGGAGAAAAAAGGGTCTAATGGTTTCAAATGGTTCAATCTTGGGGTTTAATCTATCGATTTTAGGTTTAGTACAAAACGAGGATTGGATTGATGAAGAAAAATATAACTTAAGAGTTTTTTTCTTCTGGTTTGAGGGAAAGAAAAAGAGATCAAGGGGTTTTTCTCCGAGTGATTGGGTTTAGAATGGAGAGAAATGATGGTTTAGGGTTTACTAGTTTGAAAGAAAAAAAAGATTTAATAGGGCTTAGTGGTCAGCTGGTTAAGAGGAAGAAAATGAAGGGCCGGAGGGTGTGAATGTTTTATTCATTTGGGATTTTAATTTAAGAGGAATAGATAGCCCGGTTTTTCTTTGATTTGAAAAGGGAAATAGGAGATCAAGGGGTTTTTTTTTCTAGGTGATGGGTTAGAAGGATTAAAAAGTAGGAAGCTTAGGGTTCGAGTGGGAGGCGAAAGAGATGAGATAAAGAGCTCAGTGGTTTCGATTGAGAGGAAGATGAAGGGTTAGGGATTTGATTTTGGTGATTTAAGGTTAGCTTAGGTGAAATATTTGAATGATTTAGAGCTGGCTTAGGTGAACAAACTAAAGGATAAAAGGGCTGGGCGTGTGGACCCATATTTTTTTTAACCATTCTCTTAGGAAATTAAAATCTAAAAAATTCATACATGCTTGTTATTTTCATGCCTAGTGTAAATTTAATTATGTTGAAATATTTGAACTCATTTTGCCTATTTATTTCAATTTATTTAATTTAATGTTTAACCTTTAATTTAGCAAGTCTCATAACTAATAGAGACTAATGTTAATTCAAGTTAATCATATTTTAGTAATCAAGTATTTTTTGATATCCTTGTAATATGCATGACCTAAAACCTTACTACAATGTAATATAGAAGTTTTGGTTAGTTAATAAAAGCATGTATAGGACATGTGTGAATAAAGTTTAAACCTCAATTAAGAATGAAAGAAACATGATTATTATTGGAAGGAAGTATCAATAAGATGAGAGAATGTTGAATCATAAATTGACATCCTGAATTGGTAGGGTTATGCTTTGCCATGAGGATGCAATTGCAAAACCTACGGGCATAATCACATAAAATTAAAAGTTACGGTACTCAATTAAAATGATTAAAAAATTTAATTGATCACTTTGAAATTTGGAAATGCCTAGATTAAGGACTTATTTATTAAAAAAAAATTAAAGTTAAAGGACTCGAAATGGAAGGACTTGAGGCACCCGAATGAGGTAATTAAAGGTTTAAAGACTAAAGTATAAAGTGTTAATGTATTAGGGGATTTAATAATTGATTTTTGAAGGTTATTTCTAGCAAGAGAAATCTAAAAATTTGAAGAGAAAAGAGAAGGAGAAAGTCGATGGAAGAGAGGAAATAAAGAAAAAGAGAGATAAAGAAGAAAAAGAAAAATCTTGGTGCATTTAATGAACCACCTTGAGATCAATCCAAGTGTGACACATTTGGCTTGATCTTGAGGCAAAACCCTAGCTATAAATATGGAAGAAGAAGAAGAAGAAGGGGTTACATCATGGAAGTTTTTAAGGAGCTCTAAAAGAGAAGGAATACTAAGTTAGGAGAAACCACCAAATCCAGTCATCTTAATTAGTTTAGAAACACTCAAAATTAGTCTTCAAATCAACTTAGAGGATTAAGCAAGGAGAGGGAAGGATTTTCTACCTTGGCCAAACCATTTAGAAAAGAGAAGAAAGGAGACAAAGAGAAAAAGAGGAAGAAGGGCTAACTACTAACCGAGGTAAGTAATTCTTCACCTACACCATAAGAAGTTGATGTTTGATGTGTGATTGGTGTGAATTTATGATTTGCTTAATTGAGGTTAATGAACATGATGTTAAGGAAAGATATGTAACGAGTGAATTGGAATAATTTGATTATGTATATATATTTATGATGAGAAAATTATGCTATTTGAATAATTGAATTGAATGAAAATATATGATTGAAGGTTATCCTTGTTCCAAGAATAAGGTGGTTGTAATAACTTAAAGGCATGAATAGGTTTAAGGTTGTGTTGCTTAATGCCTATCAAATGTTTAATGAAATGTCTTAAAGAGGTATAAGGGGTTAAATTGGTGAAATTTGAGTTAAATGAAAGAAGATGAAGGATTGTCTTTCACATGGCTAAATTTTGGCTAAGTATAGAAAATAAAGGAAAATAAGGTTAATGTGAGGTTTAAGGTATAAATGATATGAAAATTATTATATTTATGTGAAAGGCGATTGCTTATGTTGCTTATTTCACTTAGCAATGACATGATGTTATTCATGATTATTGCTTGTTCATGGTTGAATTTGGCTTAAAGGTTATTATGTGACCTTGATTTCATGGACGATTTAATGATGTTCCCTTGTATTATTAGTGTTTATGAAAGTATACAATGTTTAATGCTTCATGAACAAGTGCCATATGCTTCATTAGTTTATTTCAATCTATATGCTTACTTAAACTTCATAGATCATGCATCATGTCAATGATTCCATTTACATCGGAAAATGGTTTTAATCATGTTTTCAAAGACAAAATTAAGTGCATGGGATTTCAAGAAAATGGCTAGGTATGTTCCAATTACGAGTCACGAGCTTAATCATGGCATACAAAGAGAGTGACCAACTCTTTGTAAGTATCACGATCACGAGTTCAATTATGGTTCGTAATTATGAACATCACGAGCTTCACAGGGGGACATGTTTAGTGCTTTTCATAGTTTTCACATATATGATTTTCATGGATAACTAGATATGTGTGTGTGTGTGTTCGTAGGATGCACTCAATCATAGAAAATGAATTTCAAAGGTATGAAAATGTTTTCAAGAAAGCTACATCATGTGCATTCATGCATAAGAGGCATCACATGGATTATATGAATTACACTTATTAAGCATTGCATTGTTCACCTTTGTCTCTTATAGTGTAGGAGAAGATAAAGATAAATGAGAAATCACCCAAGACATGTGAGGGACTTGCCCTTTCGGTGTGCTTAGGATTAAAGAGTATGGAACTTTTCTTAAGCTTAACTTGATTTTGGTCATATGTATAAATATAGCAAGTTAGGCAAATTTTGACATGTATATATATATATATATATATATTTGTAATAATGAGTATATGTGGTTTAAATATTAAGTTGATTCTATATCAAAGGTTGTTAATCATAGAACTTGGTCGCTTAATATGGCTAATATGGCTAGGATGATATCATTAATGGATTCATGGAAATGAATGAAGTTGAGATATAGACAATGGAACAAGGGTTAAGGGTAAGGAATTAAAAAATGATTCCAATGTTATGACAAAAAGGAAAATAAAATGGTTAAGTTATTAGTAAAAGTTTAAATGAATTTATTAAAAGCTTTACTCGAAATCAAGAAAAAGATTATAAAAAAAAAAAAAAAAACTAAAAGATCCGAGGTTTTTCCTATTGATTTACTACAACATTTTTTTTTAAAAACGATTACTCAAATGGTTGAGCTCTCGTTTTACATGCGAGAGGCATAGGGTTCGATGCCCCTCATCTTCGAGCCTTTTCTATTTTTTTTATTAGCTTAAAACATTTTTTTAAAGGTGAATTAAATACAAGACACAAAATAAAGCTTTTTAACAGCTGCTTAAATGGTTGAGCTCTCGTTTTGCATGCAAGAGGCACGGGGTTCGATCCCCCGCATCTCCAAGCCTTTTCTTTTTTTTTTTGTTTTTTGTTAGCTTGAAAATTTTTTGGAAGCCCAGTTAAGTACAAGACACAAAATAAAGGCCATGTTGCCTACTTAATTCTCACTTCGAATCATTCAATAGGTTATAACGATTCTAACTAATTTAATAGCCTCAGTCCTTTTTTTTTTTTTTAACTAATGAAACATCCCAGACAAATTTTTGTTTTGTCTTGGATATAATAAATATGACTAATTCTCAAAAATAAACAAATAGATAGATAAATCAGAATTCAAATTTTTAGTATTGACTCTTAAATCTTGCTCATTCAAAAGCAGTCTCAATCCGCTTTTGTCTTTTTTTTCTTTTAATAATTTAATTTTTTTTATCATGAAATTAGATATGAAAATATAAAAAAAATTATTTTTTTTAGTTTTACGTACAATTTCATGATAATAGAATTTATATAATATTTTTAAAAATTTTAATTTAAACATACATATCCGATTATATTATTTTTATTATTTAAAAATAATTTCTCCAATTGTTTATTTCTTATTAAAATTCTCATCAAATTAATTTTTTAATTTTATATAATTTTATTTGTTAATAAATTTGATTTTTTATATATGGATTTTGAAATAAAATTTTAGAACTTAATTGTTTTATTTTTTAACATATATTATTATAATATATACGATTGATTATTTTTATGATTTTTAAATGAGAGTAGCATAATTGCATATATAAATTCGATGAGGGAGAGAGAGAGCTAAAAGTGTATCTTAGATAATTTGACTTAATTTTTTTAAAAAAACAATAATCGCTTAAAATTTAATTTAACTTAATTTTTTTAAAAAAATTAATAATTAGTTAAAAAAATCACAGATTTTATATAAAGAAAATTAAAAGAACCGAGGTATTTGAGTAATGGCTACTCGTTCATTTACTATATATGGTCGTATAGGCCAACCAGTGCGCAACACTCGCCCTTTTTTTTCTTCATATAGTTTATTTTATATTTTTAAAAGTCCGGCCACTAATCTCATGGTAGAAAAAATTGGCTAATTATTTTAAATCTTGATGTGTTTTAGGATTGTATCACCGAGAGACAAAAGGAAACCCTTAAAAGAATATACATATTCCCATAATGTAATTGTACCTCCAACAAGTGTTGTACAAGTTAAAGGGTCATATATAATTGGTCCCTTCACTAGGAAAGAAAACATATATATTATTGGTCCCTTCAATGTCTCCGAATCAATATTAATTATATCTTTGACATTAATATTAACATACATATCCGATTATTTTATTCTTATTGTTTAAAATTTATTTCTTCAATTATTTATTTGTTATTAAAATTGTCATTAAATTAATTTTTTAAAATTTTGATATAATTTATCCATCAAATTTTTATTTTTTTAAAGTATATTATTATAATTTATATAATAAATTATTTTTATATTTTTAAATGGGTGTTATATATATATATATATATATATATATATATAGAGAGAGAGAGAGAGAGAGAGAGAGAGAGAGAGAGTCAAAAGTATGTTTTAGATAGTTTGACTCAATTTTTTTAAAAAATAATAATGAGTTAAAAAAATTCACAAGTTTTATTTGTTTATATATATATATATATTTATTTAGAATTCATCAAGCATCAATTTTGTTATAATTTTTATTTTAATCTATTGACTTTAATCTATTTCTATAATTTAGGTTTTTTTGTATGTTTTTCTATTTATTCTATATATTCTGAATATATATATAAAACTTTCTACTCGCATTATACCATACAAATCGTTAACCCTACGTATGTAATGGTTCTTTTCCCGCAGCGTAATGCGGGTATCCAACTAGTTATATGTAAATTTAGTTAAGGTAGACCTAGCATTCCATACCCATTAGAGACCTCACTAAAAGAATTATCCACTTTGTTCATGAACTAAGAATGACAAGAGAGGAGGCTTCTTGGCGTGCATTCATTACGCTTCGAATGTAAATCAATTTAGACAATATCCTCAACCTATCTAGGTCCTAGGTCGGGGGTATTACAACACCAATTATGTCGAGACTTAAACCGAATCCAATATTGAATTGATAAGACTTCTAGTGATAAAGTCCGATGATCGATTGAATATGATGTCAAAAACAAAAAACATTCAATTGGCTTAGGAAATAAAATTTAGACTTTTGACTTATTATTAATTTTAGCAATAATAGAAGTTTTAGGAGATAAATTTTAGGATTTAAAATAGACATGGCACCTTTTCGGGATAGGATGTCTTTGGGTGATTGATACCCTCCCAAATGCATAGCCAACTTCTTACCCTAGAATATTTCAACCAAGTGCTTGTTTTGAAGGATCATGCATCTTATGAAGGTGTGGAATAACATAAAAAAAAATTTTATCTAAAGTGGCCTAAGATCATGTCGTTGAATCAACTAATCATATATTCATGAATTAAAGCGATGAATAAAGAATTACCTCTTGTAGTGCAGATTTAAACTCTTTAGCAAATAAAGAAATCGTCCAAGCATCCGGCATGTATTGATTATCCATGTAGTTCAAGCAACCACAAAGAAGCACTCAAAATTGATAGAGTGTTAGCTTCGTATTTTTTGATTTTTTTAGTATTTTCTATAGAAATCTAATCCGAGTAATTTTGTGACAACCCAAAGAAAAGAGGAAAGTGATATGTGCTAGGATTTTTAGGAGAAAACTATTTTTTTTTCTTTTATTACGTACCCTAGATCTCCTTTTAATTGTGTCAAAATTTCTCTCCCAAAAAATTATGCTTGTTGTAGCATCTCTCTTCCTATTTATAGGGGAAGAGTTTCCTTGTCCTCCAAAGACAACGAGAGGAGCGATAACTTGTCCTAATTTGGACTCATGGTTATTGCTTTTTAATCCTCCAAGGATTATGAGTTATTTAACATGTGAGTTCTTTTATCTTTATCGTTAAAACAGATCATCCTTATCTAATAATGTTCATGTTTATTCTTCCACTAAAATATCTTTCGGACTTTTAATTAAACCTATTGGCCTAAAACCATTTTGACCCAATAAATTAATTTGGACTATCCAAATAAATAAACTTAGATAATTTTAGGAGGTCCATATTTGGAAAATAATTTTTCAAATTACCCTTAAACCTAAATTAGGAAACTAATTTCTATTTTAGGTTATTTACTTGTAAATTTGGAACTAACTTCTAAATTAGAAAACCGATTTCTAAAATGAAAAAATTTTCATTTTAAGAAACTTCTATTTTATTAAACTTTTCATTTTTGGAAACCCTTTCCAAAATAGGAAACTTTCAAAATTGAATTTTTTTTCAATATCTTTGCTTCTCTTTAATCATGTGAATGCTTAAACTTATACGTGTGACTCAATAGGCTCCTAGATATGTTGGTAATGTATCAAAAATAAAAAGACATCTCTTTTATCTCTTGATACATAAGTTAAGATTAGTCTATAGCAAGGCATCATGACGACCTAATTCTCTAAGAGAATTAATTAATTCGTTATTACTTTTCATGAGCATAGTTGCAATACAATTAAGTCCTCATGTCAACTTATCACAAGTATGATCTCGAACTTGGTAATAAGTCTTGTTCGATTATGATCACACAAGTTTTTTTTATTCTTAAATATCTTAGCTCTTAGAGTAAACCAACTATGCTCTATTGGTGTACTCTTACTATGGTCATAGATTTCTTCGATAAATATTTATCGAATTGCAATATGATAACTTCTTTAGCATACAAGAAATAACATGTCCTATCTTAGTCATCCACCTATCTCTATTAGATTCATAGTGCACCCAACGAATCGCTCATGTGCAATCCTTTACTCGGGTCCATCAAAACGAGTGTCAAAGTGCATAAATCCTCTAATAAGATAACTATGATTACTTTAAGTCTAACGACTAGTTGTACCCATCTCATATGAGATTCCCATAGACTAAACCAAATGGATTTTCATGGAAAGTCAAGTCTAGTGAAATGTTCTTTAACATAAATCATCTAAGTGCTTGCTTTGACATCATGCCAATAGGTGTGAGATCTCTTACTCGCTATCGTATAGAATAAGCATAGTACTCACAAGTCTAATTACATATAGTCAATGTTTATTCTTGATAATGCTATAACTTGGGACATTTAATGATATCATTTATGTGCATTAATGTTTGTCTCATATCTTTCGATCAATCACTAATGTAAATGCATATCATATAGACTTCTATCTAATTTTATTCAATCAATAAATGTAAATAACAAAAATTAATAGAAAGATTTCTTTGATTATAAATAATATAATAATACAATAACTCAAACCCATTAAAAAATGATTGAATCTTGAGCACCTACACTAACAATCTCTCACTTACACTAGAGCCAACCAGCCATGTCACTTAATCCTAATGATCGAGTAAGGGTCTCATGTTTTAATTGTGACCAAGGCTTAGTCAAGGGTCGGTTAAGTTATCATTAGTATGAACCTTTTCTATCCTTAAGTCGTCACGACTAATAATCTCTCTAATTAGATGGTAGCGTCACAATATATGCTTGAACTATAAATGAGACCTTAGTTCCTTAGCTTGTGCTATAGCTCTATTGTTATCACAAGTATAATATTATTGGATCAATAACGCTAGGAACCACTTATAGTCTAGATAAAAATTTATGAATCCAAACAGACTTCCTTAGTTGTTTTTGTGACTACAATATATTTAGCCTCGATTGATGAGTTTACCATCGTTTTTTGCTTGGAACTTTTCCAACTAACAACTCTATCGTTCAACTAGAAAATAAATCCCGATTGTGACTTAAAGTCATCATGGTCGGTTTAAAAATTAACATCTATAAACCCTTTCATTATTAGTTCATCTCCTCTATAGATCGGGAAAACATCCTTAGTTCCTCACAAATACTTTAGAAGGCTCTTCATAGTAAATCAATGTTTTTCACCTAGATTAGCTTGATATCTAGTATATATACTTAAAGCGT